ACGATGGCTCACGCCTGTAATCCCAGCAGTTTGGGAGACTGAGGCAGGTGGATCACGTGAGGTCAGGAGTTCAAGACCAGCCTGGCCAACATGGTGAAACTCCATCTCTACTAAAAATACAAAAATTAGCCTGGTGTGGTGGTGGGTGCCTGTAATCCCAGCTACTTGGGAGGCTGAGGCAGGAGAATGGCTTGAACCCAGGATGCAGAGATTGCAGTGAGCCAAGATCGTGCCACTGTACTCCAGCTTGGGTGATGCAGTGAGACTCAGTCTCAAAAAAAAAATTTTTTTTGCAAGGATTTCATTAAAGGAAAATGCTTGTGTGAAACGAAATAGGGAGCTGTGGAAGTTGGGAGAGTTATCAGACAGAAGGAGTGTGTGGGAGAGAGATGGTGCCGATTGAGATTGGATACAGTTGCCTAAACTGCTGCGCAATCTAAGGACAGCTTGGTAAAGCCTTTGGGAGTCTTTGAACTGGGCTGATAAGAGTCCTGTGTTTACCAGCATTGGGTCTTCCTTACTATCCCCACTGCACACGGTCACAGATGAGGAGCGGCCTGAGGGGGCGTGGGCTTGGTACAAGTGTGGTGATGAGTTTCAGAGGGCAACAGCTGATGCTGTTTGCGTCAATTACACTCCCGCAGTGGGAGACTGGAGGGACAATCTCCCCGCCTCCAGGAACCACTGATCTTCCTGACAGCCTACCTATGACTGCTGCAGGAGGGGAGCCAGAGTTCATGAGTAATGGACTTGCATGAAATATTCCATTCTTAGTTTTCAGCACAAGATCTAATTCTCTCTTGCTGACTCAAGGATTTTGATCCAGTGATTACCTGTTTCTCTCCTGTATCATCAGTTTCTCCTAGCCACTTGCTTATTTCCACCCATGTTCAGTAACATCTTCCCGTCCTCACTTGTGTTCAGGTGGCCTCCATTTCTTTGCTCCTTGTCAAAAAAAAAAAAAAAAAAGAAAGTCGGGGTGGGGGAACTTCTTGAAAGAGTTGTGTATACTTGCCTCTACTTCTTCCTTTCCCATCTTTTTGCTCACAGTAAGAGCAGTTTTGTTTTTTATGATTAATTAAAGCATTTAAGTTCAATGTGGTGGAAGTAGGAAGAAGGCAAAGAGCATCTAAAATTACCTCATTTTTGTTAGGGGGAAGGGAAGGACAGGGAGCGATTTGTTAAAGCAGCAGTCACCAACTTTTTTGGCACCAGTGACTGGTTTTGTGTAAGACATTTTTTCCATGGACGAGGCGTGGAGAAGGTAAGGGGTGGGAATGGTTTCAGGATGAAACTGTTCCACCTCAGATCATCAGGCATTAGATTCTCATGTGGAGCATGCAACCTAGATCCCTCGAATGTGCAGTTCACAATAGGGTTCACCTCCTATGAGAGTCTAATGCTGCAGCTGACAGGAGGTGGAGCTCAGGCGGTAATGCTCCCGTGGGGCTTGGGGACCCCTGTGTTAAGGAGTACAAAATTACAGCTAGATAGAAGGGAGAAGGTCTAGTGTTCTGGTCTGGGCACGGAGGCTCAGCCTGTAATCCCAGCACTTTGGGAGGCTGAGGCAGGAGAATCACTTGAACCCGGGAGGCAGAGGTTGCAGTGAGCTGAGATTGTGCCATTGCACTCCAGCCTGGGCAACAGAACGAGACTCTGTCTCAAAAAAACAAAACAAAACAAAAAGAAGGTCTAGTGTTTTATAGCACTGTAGGATGACCATTAGTTAATAATGATACGGAGTTTCAAATAGCTAGAAGGAGGATATTCAATGTTCCCAACACAAAGAAATTCGAACCTTCGAGATAATGGATGTGCTAATTACCTGATCTGGTCACTATACATTATATGTAGAAAAACAGCACTATGCACTCCATAAATATGTACAATTATGTCAATAAAAAAATATTTTCCTCAAAACAATGACATCACTTTCAGTTCTGAGACTTCATTTGTCTTTATGTGCAAACATGTTGGTTGACATCAAAGAACACTTTCCTGCTGCGTGCCTATTGTTTCCCTCACCCCAGTTCTGAAGGCCTTGTTTCTATCTCTCTGCATCTCTCGGTACAGCCCCACGCCCCCTGTCGTGGACACACACGTCCATGCCTGTACGCACAATGGAAACAAAATGGTATGTATACTGGTGAAACGGGAAAGGCTCCCTTATCCCCGTTGCAGGGCGTGCGACGGGCCTGCGGCTCGCTTCTTCAGCGCCCCACCGCGCAAACCTCTCTGCGGAGCATGCAGATGGGCAGATGGTGGGGCTCCAACCCGGGCAGTGTCCAGGGGCAGATGTTCGGAGCTGAAGCCCCAGTGGGTGTGTGTGACAGCGCGCTCTTTCAGTTTAGCAGTCCGTAGGCAGCTCGAGTCAGCTCACTTAGACCCCCGCCTTATCGCAAGGACAGAGGGCTTTCTTTCCTGGGTTTCTTGCCTTGGTGCCCCAAGAATCAGATCACATGTGGGCTTGGAGAATGGGTGTGAGATTTTATGGACTGGAAGTAGCTCTCAGCAGATGGGGGAGCCAGAAGGGAGACGGTTTTCCCCTGGGTCGGCCGCGTGGCAGCCGGGCTCTCCCCCACCGCCCCCGCCAAACCCCGCGACGTCCTGCTGGTCCACGGCCTGCGGGTTGTGCTCTTCAACCCACTGCTGCTCCCGCCGTCCAGCCGCCCGCGTGTGCGTTCGCTGATGTGCTCTCCACGTCCAGCTGCTAGAGTCTTGGGGTTTTTATACGTCCAGGACGGGCGTGGCGGGCCAGGGTGTTCTTGGGAAATGCAGCATGTGGGCGTGAAGGCCCGAGTGCCTGTGCTCACCCAGGTCGTGGGCACAGGCCCGAGGGTGGCACCTTAGCCAGGGCCCCGCCTTTCTCTACCAAGCACTTCCCTGCCCTGCTTCCACCTCGCCGTCATACTTTCCTCCATGTTCTCAGTCACGCAACATTTGTTTTGTTTACATGAAAATGGGATCATAGTACAGATGGTTCTCTGTAGCTTGCTTTTCTCATTTATCAAAACCTTGTGGAAAAATCATCTAAGTCACTTAGCACAGAGTATGTGGTCAACGTACAAGCATCATGTCGTCAGCCATTCCCTGTTCACCTGTTGGTAGGTGTTAATTCTGTTTCTAGAGTTTTGCCACAGCAACTAATGATGCCGTCTCTCTGTCTACATATCTGCATCTGTCTATATGTATATCATCTATATCTGTTCATCCATCCATCTACACCCACACACATATCCTGATATATTGGTCCTCTACATCCCACCCTGTGGAAAGAGTCTAACAGCGGGGTTGCTGGGTCCAAGAGAATATGTATTTTTAATTTTAACAGATTTTGCCAGATTGCTTAAAAAAAACTATAGCAATTTACATTTCCTTCAGAACTGCAAGATAATTTCCTTCCCATCCCTTCCTCTCCCTGATTTCCATGGTGGGGGGGGTGTCAAAATTTATTATTTTGAGCATCAAAGTCAAAATTTATTATTACCCTTTGGAGCTTTTGTCACCAGGTGAAAAATGCAGCCATGTTGTGACTTTGGTTTGTATCTTTCCACCTGCCAGCCAAGGTTGACTTTACGTAGTGGATACTTACGAAGCCAGTCTGCCTGAGTTTGAATTCCAGCTCCATCACTTACCAATTATATGACCTTAGTATAGTTATTTACCTTCTATGTGCCAATTTCCTCATCTCTATAATAGTTCTTGTTTCATAGAGTTATGGAGGTTTAGTTATTACAACAGTTCCTGGCATATAATAAACATCAAAAAAAGTTGTTTTAAATGTATTTGTTGGCTGTTTGGACATGCGCTTTCATGAGATGACTGAAACTTTGCGCATTTCCTGTTGGGTAGTTTGTCTTCCCCATCTAGTTTCAGGTCTTGTTTCACCATTTTCATTAAACATTTTAAAGTTTTCTTCATATAGGTCATGTACTTCTCATATTAAATTTATATATTTTGTAACTACAATGAATAGATTATTTTTATTTCTAACAGATTAGAACTATTAGAAAGGTATGAATTTGGCAATATTTGTCTAGTTAGAGCCATCAAATTCTCTTATTCTGGTAAAACTTGTTGTGAATTTTGGGCTTTCATAGCACATATTATTATTGAAAGAGAGGATTTTGTCTCTTTTTTCCCAGCATTGGTACTATTTATTTTATTTTTCTCTTGTGATGTCAGAACTTTCAAAACAGCGGTGAACAGCAGGTATGTCTGTCTTACTCTTGATTTTGGTGAAGTGAGAAATTCTTTGTGGACAACAGCTTTGAGAGGCCTGTGGAATTTCATCTTACTTGTGATCTTCCATTCTTGATTGCCTGCACTGTGCATTTCAGACTTGTTTAGCCAGCCTCCACGATCACATAATCCCATTCTTTTAAAATAAATCACTTTAGAGGAGAGTTAGTGTGCGCGCACCCACCCTTCCTCCTGGTTCTGCTTCTCTGTTGAATCCTGACTGATACAAATACTAATTATTTAGAAGCCTGTGGTAATATTCGGACAAATTAAGAAGCTTATTTTGAGCATCAAAGTCAAAATTTAAAACTTAGAATTCAAATTTAGGGCCAGCTCTAAATTTTACAGGCTTACACCTATAATCCTATCCAAGGCTGGAGGGCTGCATGAGCCCAGGAGTTCAAGACCAGCCTGGGCAACACAGCGAGACCCTATCTCAAAACAATAATTGGACTAGAATAGAATAAAATAAAATAAAATTTAGAACATCAGCTGCTCATTTTTAGTATATCTTACGTTTCATATATGAATTTACCAGTAGAAAAAATCTGTTTAGGGCAGGTTATTTAAATTCACACACCTTTGTTAAGTCCTTCATACATAAATTAACTACAGCCATGTAAGGTTTCATGGGAAAAGTTTCATGTAAAATGATACTTGACACACACACATATATATATTTTCCAGTAGCCCTATGGTCTAGCATGTGAGACACATAGATTTATTTTCAAAAATTCACTTTTATTCATACAAAGGTCAATTTAGTTTATTTTTTCATGCCATGTAAGAGTATATAGAATACCTTTAAAATGAAGGCAAACACATAAAGGATTAATTTAATAACACAATATATATATATGCAAATATTTCTATTTTGGAGATAGTTCAAGAATATTTTTCAGATCTTGAATTTGGTGATGCCTCCTATGAGCTTATATTTAGTATTTCTTGGTCAAACACACACTCTCAATATAGGCATATAATACACTGTCCCGCTACATACATAGATCCGTAATAAACAAACTTTCAGTTTTCCTAATTCGTCTTATGTTTTCTTGGAGCTTTGTGAAGTGGTTCATTAATATATCGTCTATAAATCCTCATGTACCAAAAGTAGCTCAAAATGAGGATAGTGAAGAACAGTAGCATCAGGACAAAGAGGAAAGAAGCTACCAGGTAGACACTTGAACTGAAATCAGAAAAAAAAAAAAAATCATTAAATCATGCTTCACATTTTGGCTGTTATTTATTTAAACAATTTTTGAATAGCTAGCTACTATGCCATTGACAGAGAACAAAGATTAATAAGACACACTGTCCACCCTCAAGGTGTTTACCTTTTAGTGTCTGAGGCTGACCAGGGAGGAAAATAGACAAAGTGATCAATGCAATGAAAGGAGGAAATGAATTTCTTTTTTGAGACAGAGTGTCACTCTGTCACCCAGCCTGGAGTGCAATGGTGAAATCTCAGCTCACTGCAACCTCGGTCTCCCCGGTTCAAGCCATTCTCCTGCCTCAGCCTCCCGGGTAGCTGGGATTACAGGCAGGTGCCATCACACCCAGCTAATTTTTGTATTTTTTAGTAGAGACAGGGTTTCACCATGTTGGCCAGGCTGGTCTTGAACTCCTGACCTCAAGTGATCTGCCCGTCTCGGCCTCCCAAAGTGCTGGGATGACAGGTGTGAGCCACTGTGCCCGGCCGGAAATGAAGTTTTGTGGGAGCCACACACCATGGAAGGCCTTCCAGTGGAGGGGATGTTTGAACTGAGCCTCGGCAGGAGTTAGCTGGGTATGAATGGGAGTAGGAGTTAGCTAGATGAAAATGCCTAAGGGTGGAGGAAGAGACCAAGATGGGAACATGTTTCAGACAAAGGGAGAAGCGTATGGGAAGACATGGAAAGAGAAGAGGATGGATAGGTTAGTAGATTTTTATGTTTGCAATCAGGGATACAGGGCATTCCTGGCTGATGGCTTCTAATTTCTTTGTGAGGGTGGAAACAAGCTTATCTTGATTATTAAGGAAAGCAGGTTTGAGGAGGAAAGTAATTAGATACAATCTGAAATCGTTGCTACAGAGAATGCTGCTCAGGTGTAGTCACAGAGAAAGTAGGTAGTTGGGGATTTGCCAGCGGGAGGAACAAATCCCGGAGGGGTGAGGGTGTACTGGGAAGTGTTCTTGAAATAATGGACTTTTAAAGGTAAGGAAATGCAAAGTAAAAAAAAGAGAAAGTGAAAGTACAGGTGGAGGTTGCAGTAAGGGTGCAGAGAGGCTGCGGTGGGTAATTAACAAGCTGGAAGGACAGGAGGCTGTGGTCAAAGAATGGGATGTCTGCATTGCTCTTTAGGAAGCGGAGAAGTTACAAGTCATGACAGTCTGGAAGGTGTGACCATGGGAGTGGACGGCTGAAGTGCAGCAGAGGAGGGGGTCACCGAGGAGGTGGTAAGGCCACGATTTTGGATGCTGGATGTGAACACTGATGGTGGGGCTTGACGTGGAGAGGAAAACAGTGCGATGGGGCCAGAGTTGTGAGTGAATGGAGCCGACTATGCAGCGGACATAGCGGTGAGGACAGACAGCTGGGGCCGCAGCAGATGCTGTGGGTCTCAGAGGATCGCGGTATATTTTGCTTCTTTTGGTCTTGTTTGACAAGAACGAGGATAAATAATGATTTGGAATTGTTTGACAAGAACCAGGGTAAATAATGATTTAGAACTGATAAATAATGATTTGGAATTGGCCCCTGAGGTACATGGGAGGTGTAAGAAAATAGAAAATGTAAGAAAATCCTCCACTTGAGAGAACTGAAGGTGAAGCAGTGTCTTCAGGGACAGCCTGGTTTCACCTAAGGAGAGAGAGGGAGGGCTCAGAGGATGGTTGAAGGTCTAGGTGAGTTCGCTGGTTAAATGGTGGTAATTCCAGGCAGCAGAATGGAAACTTTGGGAAAGTGGCAGAGTTGAGTGCTGAGCTAGGAGCAAGGAAGTACCGAGCTAGGAGCAAGGAAGTACCCAGCTCTCTGCCTTTTACAAGCTCATTTCTAGTCACTACTCAAGAAAAGGGCTCTGGGCCGGGGACAGTGGCCCACACCTGTAATCGCAGCACTTTGGGAGGCTGAGGTGGGTGGATTATGAGGACAGGAGATCGAGACCATCCTGGCCAACATGGTGAAACCCCGTCTCTACTAAAATACAAAAAATTAGCTGGGTGTGGTGGTGAGTGCCTGTAGTCCCAGCTACTCGGGAGGCTGAGGCAGGGGAATCACTTGAACCAGGGAGGCGGAGATTGCAGTGAGCTGAGATCAGGCCACTGCACTCCAGCCTGATGACAGAGTGAGACTCCATCTCAAAATAAATAATAAATAAAAGAAAAAAGAAAAGGGCTCTGTTACTAAGAAAATATCAACCACCAGCCAGCCCTTGTCTGCCTCTGCTACCCTTCAGGGCCCAGGTGTTAACGGAGGCTAACCTACAGTCAGTAACCAAATAGACTGTCCTCTGTGCTGTGCTCTTGCTGGCAGGTGAGAGCGGGGGCATGCAGGTGAGACCCTCCTCCTTCGCTCTTTCTCCTCCCTAACTTCGACTCCCTCTTCTGCTGGTGGGTACTTGGGTGGGCATACCTTAATAGTCACCTAAATCAAACATACCAATCCAATGAGGAAGAAAAGTCACTACAGAAAGGTTACGCATGTTTCCCAAAGTTATTTAGAAACAACTCTTGACTTCATTTGCAGATTATTCACACTAACATTCCATTAGCATAAATCTCCGGAAGTCAGTAATATTTACAGTAGGGCCATGAGTAACTTAATGGTTTTTTAATGCCCTTATTTAACATCTCCCCCCCAAAAAAACCCAAGCACCCAAATTCCAAACACCAGGCCCAAAATTGAGTAGCAAAGTCATTTGGCATCCTAACTTTAGTATTATAACTTGTAACTCTGCTCTCCAAGGGAACTGGAGCTGAGTCCGGGGAAATGCCTTTCCTGTTTCCTAAACACACCAGAATGAGGGTCTGTGAGTGAAAGCTGACCCAGGCTTGGAGCAGAGGGCACAGCCACTGTCCAATCCTGACACTGCATTCCACCATCTGCCAAGTAGGAGGAGCTGGGACATGTTTGATAGGAAGACAGTGGCTGTTGAGTGGGATGGCACAAAAGGGGACCTTTGCTGCAGTAACAGTTCTTAGGAATTCCTTCCTGCTGTATCCCTGTATATACACATACAATTTTAGGATGTCGTGTAGCGGGGCGGAAGCTCCAGGGCTTCAGGGAAACAGCAAGTTTCATTTGGGAAGACAGATTTCATAGATAGCCCCCAAAAATCTAAATATATTGAAACCACTGACTTTGCAGTGAACACTTCATACAAGTGTTTTTTTTGTTTGTTTTAAGATTCATTTGCATTATATACTGTATAATAATATTTTTCATAATAAGATTTAAGCTGGGGACCCTGAAACGTGATTGCACAGGCTCTTTCTGGGAGACATGGGGAAGAGGTGCTTTTCCTTCTTAGCTGCCACTTGTATCTTTTAGAAATTCCCTCATTAAAGTCCAATTAGGCGCTGTTCATTACCTGGGAATCTGTCCAAACGTTTCTATTGCAAATATAGCTGTTAGATTACAGAAACTGCAAATTAGAAAAATAATATTAAAGATTAAATTAAGTACAATATATTTTAAAACTCTCCCCATGTCCCTATGGTAACAATCACACCATATATAATCCTAGTTAAGGTGTCATTTTCTTGACAAAGGACAGAATGTATACATTTATATAACAACCGTCATTATTTTTCCATATGTACATCTCAGGCTTCTCTGAGATTCCTCAAGAGCTCTCTATCCTAACGGCCTTACATCATTTTGATAGTGGTTCCCAAGGCAACAGTAATAATGATATTAAGTATTGGCAGAAATAATAAAAACAGCTAACATTTATGAGCATTAATACTCACTGAAAATGAATAGTGGCAAGTGCAAGGCTCACACCTGTAATCCCAGCACTGTGGGAGGCTGAGGCAGGTGGATCACCTGAGGTCAGGAGTTCAAGACCAGCCTGGCCAACATGACAAAACCCCTCCTCTACTAAAAATAGAAAAATTAGCCGGGCATGGTGGTAGGCACCTGTAGCCCTAGCTACCTGGAAGGCTGAGGCAGGAGAATCTCTCAAACCCGGGAGGCGAAGGTTGCGGTGAGCCGAGATTGCACCACCGCACTCCAGCTCACTCCAGAGTGAGACTCCATCTCAAAAAAAAAAAAAAAAAAAAGAAAGAAAGAAAATGAATACGACTTGAGCATTGCCATGTACCAGGCAGGATGCCAAATACTTACATGCATTATCTTAGTTGATCCTCACAGCAACCCTTCCTTTTAGATGAGGAAACTCAGATGAGGAAGCTCAGACAGGTCAAGCAACTTGAGAAAGTTTACACAGCTGTTAGTAGCAGAGGTGGGATTTGAATTCAGGTTTTTCTGACCCTGGTGCCTATCACGTTCACCTGATGCAGGCTAAGTCCTTCAGGAAGCTGAGTTTTGGAGCTCAATATATGAAAGTGTATTCTCATTTCTAATGTTACCGAATATCTCTCATTATTAAGTATATTGCTTGGAATGAGGCAGGATATAGCTAAGCAAACATTTATGACATGATTTCACCTACCTACATGTGGGAGAAGACAGAAGAAAGGAACTGATTTTTATTATTTGTTATGTGCTCAGCAAAGTTAGAGATTTTTACCCAGATGCTTCATTTACTCTTCAGAGTACTGTAAAATAGGTATCATCGACCCATTCTACAGATACAGAATGGCTCAAAAAGAGCAGCTTTCTTTAGACTGAATAGCTAGTAGTGGCAAAACTGGGATTCAAACCAAACTATTATATCAACTTGTGGAATTGGCATGTAAATACAACCCACAAACAACAATACAAGATATTGTATTATAAATTCTAGGCCAAGCATGGTGGCTCACGCCTGTAATCCCAGCACTTTGGGAGGCCAAGGCGGGCAGATTGCCTGAGCTCAGGGATTTGAGACCAGCCTGGCCAACATGCTGAAACCCTGTCTCTATGTACTAAAACACAAACAATTAGCTGAGTGTGGTGGCATGCACCTGTAGTCCCAGCTACCCGGGAGGCTGAGGCAGGGGAATCGCTTGAGATCGTGCCACTGCACTCCAGCCGAGGCAACGGAGTGGGACTCCAACTCCAAAAAAAAAAAAAAAAATCTAATGAGTAACGTGGACACCTATCACAGGAATTAGGAATGTTCACAGCAAGGTAACTACCAAGGCCTGAGACTGATCACAGAGGCTTGTGTTGGCTCCTAAAGGTTGGAGTTTAAGTAAGTAAGGATGAAGGTTGGGCATTCCAGGTATAGGAAGAGATGAGCAAAGGTTTGGAATAGGAATGAATCTGGTGCATGTAGAGGAAAGTAGAGGGAGTTTTGCATGTGTGCACGTTTGCATACACGTGCGTGTGCGCATGTTTGCATACGTGTGCTCATGCCTGCTCAGGTGCCCTCCACAGGGCTTTAATGAAAGGTTTAGGAATTTTGACTTTATCCTTTTTATATAAAGGAGTCATGATTGTTTTTGAACCTAATTCAATAGTGGTTTGTAAAGTGATTTGGAATAGAGAGATGAGATGTAAGTGGGCCATACAGAAAAATTATAAATAGTAGGAAACAACCCAGCTCTGTGATAATGAGGTCTAGACTTGGGTAGAGGCAACTGCGACTGAAAAGAGAGCCATGTTGATTTTTGATAGAATGTGATGGAATCAGCATGGAATAAATGCAATTGGAACTTTACAGTTGTTAGATGGAGTGTTGTCAAGTGGATTGGGCTGGTTGATGGCACAGTTCAGGTATTCTGCATCCTTACTGATTTTCTCTCTACTTGTCCTATCAACTGCTAAGAGAGGAGTGTTGAAATCTCCAACCATAGCTAGGAGTTTATCTGTTTCTCTGTTTAGTTCTATCTGTTTTTGTTTCCTAGATTTTGAAGCTGTTTTAAAGGTAAATCCATGTTTAGGATTATGACACCTTCTTTATCACTATGCCGTGTGTCTCTTTAGACCCTCCTTGCGCTGAATTCCACTTTATCTGGTATTAATATGGCTGATCTTGCTTTCTTTTGACTCCTCTTAGCACGGTTTATCTTTTTTTATGCCCAGCTATATCACTTTTACTGAGGTGTTTACATTGCAAGCATAACCCAATTCTTACCGTGCTCCATCTCAACAAACACATTGTTTGTAGACAGATTTAGATTCTACCAAGTTCTAGACAGCAATATGAAAGTGAAACTCAGAAGAGGAAGAGTTACATAGAAAAATAACTGCAGAATTTTGCTAACTTACATAAGCAATATCCTAAGAATATGTATAGAAAACAATGAATTCTGAGAGTGTTAGACCAAGGAAGTGCAAGCATAATTCTAGGTCACATTCAGTTGTTGACATGAATGCATTAAATGAAGTAGAGATGCCAGAAATTCTTTATTATAATGTATAGAAGTAAGTCTAAAGGCTCAGAGAAAGGGGAGTACTGGAGTGAGTTTATCAGAGGTGAACCACTCATTCTCCCTGAGATAGGACCCATAAGCTACTGCATTCACCATAGCACTGAGAACCACATCAGTGACAGAAACACCAAAGGTATCGATCCCAGAACACTTCCCAATAAACTTCCTGCATGCTAACCTTCATCTCAGAGTTTCCTTTCCAGGGAACCTGCAATGGCTAGAATAACTCAATTTAAATTATTTGGTTGAAGTGTTCAGAAGACCGATGGGTTTTGGGGACTGATAGAATACCATCATGAGATTAATCAATAGTTGCTATCTCCCCTACCCAATGTAGTCTCATCAAAGAAGCACATCAGTACCACCCCCAGCATCTGCTAAGCAGCCATTCATTTAGCAAATTATTCCCTCCCCCCCACACCACTAACGTATCACGTAAACCTTTAACAAGCTGCCCTTCAAACCTGAATGAGTTTTGAACTCCAGACACTTAAATATATTACACTGTACAGAAAATGGTAAAAGTTACAAAATGCATATGATGCGGGAGCTTTCACCACCATCTCTCAACACTCAGATATCTGCAGAGCAAAGAACGTGAGCTTTGCTATCAGACTGACCGAGCTTTGTTTCACTGCATTCTCTGTGGCCCTGGGCAAGAAACCCAACAGGCAGAAAGGATCAGAAGCAGCTTGCTTTCACCTGGGGAATACTGTAGTCCACCTTCCTTCTTGCTTCAGGACCACAGCCACCCTACGATTCTGCTGTCACGGAGTTTGTTTTTATCATCATCTCATAGAACATCATGCTGGTCCACTATATTGATAATTATAATCAATGTGTGTGTGTGTGTGTGTGTGTGCGCGCGCGTGTATTTACTGCAGATATATTAGTAAGATAAAGGAGACAAGGCCAAGCGTTGTGACTCACATCTGTAATTCCAGCAGTTTGGGAGACTGAGGCAGGTGGACTGCTTGAGGTCAGGAGTTTGAGACCAGCCTGGCCAATATGGAGAAACCCTATTTCTATGAAAAATACAAAAATTAGCCAGGCCTGGTGGTGCATGCCTGTAATCCCAGCTACTTGGGAGAGTGAGGCACAAGAATTGCTTGAGCCTGGGAGGTAGGATTGCACTGAGCTGAGATCATGCCACTGTACTCCAGCCTGGGCCACAGACCGAGACTCTGTCTCAAAAAAAAAAAAAA